CAGGCGAAAAAATTTCAGCTAGTACGATCAGGGCTGCGAACTATACTTAGCTATGAAGCGCCATATTGAGGATAAAAAAGTGCCAAATGTGCCAAAAAGAAAAAAAGTGCCAAAAAAGGTGTGATTATTTTTAGTCTTTTTCATTTAGCATTAAAATTAGAAACACATTCCTAAAACAAAAGTCCAATGCAAAGTAAGATAAACCAGTTGTATACACTATAGAAAGTAGAAAATATTAGGTGACAAAAAGAAGTGCACGCAAAAGATTTCACAAAAATGTATTCAAATATTATTATTTTTCAAAAGTGCCAAATTGAAAAATTAAGTGCCATTTGAAGTAAAGTACGGCCAAAAATGGCACGGTTTGAACCAAGTTGGCAGCCCTGTGTACGATGTGTTTCTTCTGAATACTGTTAAGGCGATGTGGATAATGCTGCATAGTCGTGTGAGGTGGGATGGTAAAGGTAAACGGAAAATAATTGTCTATAATTAATGTAGAGACCTGCACTAGTGTTGTGTGAGTGTGGGAGACACAACGATTCAGAGTAACGAACATCCATATTAGTTAGTTGAATATCGAGCGTGAACCTGTAAAGTTGCACTATCAATGAACTCAATAAAATATCATATTTCCATGGTATAGCCCTACCGAGAATAATTGTATTTATTATTAAACTGTTTAGAAGTGAACAAGTAGGTGAGTTATTACAGTGGCGACGAGGATGGGATCAAATTGACCCGGAAAAAGTGTAATTCATAATGTGGAAAATTTCTGCATGCTACATTTTATAAGTGCAAAATGGCGGCCATTCGTCTTCACTACTCGTCGATGTGATTCGGCGAGTTTAAAATCCACTCGTTCGGAGCTAAATAAAGAGTACATGTTTCATTTCAGATGTAATTCAACTAGTGGCCAAGAAGGCGAGTGAAAAGTACGTAAAGGAATTGCATTAAATTGCGCATATAAACCAGAAGGTGTCGAATTCAATTTCGTTACAATCAAGGGTATTAAATACGAATGCGAGCACAATTAATTGTGCACATATGTATGTATATACATATATACAAATATGAATAACTATTCATAAACGATTGTGTTTCTGATTTCAGATCGCAGGGTGACAAATTAAATTTTGTCAAAGCCACTATAAAGGCGCTATAAAGGTGTAACAAAATCTGATTTCAGAACAAAGGGCGACGAATTCAATTTTGTCAGTGGATAACACGTAAAGTGACAAATTCAATTTTGTCAATGCCACCAGGCGATTTGGAGACGTAACAAATTCGACTAGAAACGTAGTAAAAACAAATTTTTCCACCGCTAACAGAAGTACACCAAAAGTGACAAATTAAATTTTGCCAATAATATCAAGCGTAACACAGGTACAACAACGCACTCGTAGTAGAAATGGTGATTCGTCCATTCTTGTGTGACAGCATAGATAAGGCCCTTGTTCGGTCAGAGTGGGAAAAGTGGTTTCGATCCTTCTCCTTATATCTTCAAGCCGAAGACATAAGTGATGTAGTGAAAAAGAAAAACAAATTACTGCACCTGGGGGGCCCCAACTGCAGGAAGTAGCTTTTAACATTCCTGGTGCCTTAGTCGAGGTAAGTAAGGAGGTGAATTCCTTCGAAGTATTAGTAGCCAAACTTGATGAATACTTCTCGCCAAAGCGTAATTCTACTTTCGAAAGACACCTTTTTCGAAATTTATTTGAGGGGGAAAACTTCAACAAACACTTACTACGACTCCGGCATCAAGTGTCGAAGTGCGAGTTTGGGAAAACGGCCGCAGAAATAAATGAAATTTGCATCAAAGATAAAATAATAGACTCGTGGGCTCCAGTCGACTTGAAGAAAAAGCTTCTAGAGAAAGAACAGAGTTTAAAAGAGATAGTAGAAACCTGTCAAATTTATGAACAAATATCCAAACAATCGGGGTCTATGTTTACGAAGTCGGCCGACGAGTCTGTTAATCGAATTACTGCAAAGTCACGCGGGGCAAAGCAGAACAATGATGAGTGTGGCAGATGTGGCCAAAATGGACATTTTAGTAACGATCCGAAATGTCCGGCGAAGTCTGCGAAATGCAACAAATGCGGCTTGATTGGACATTTTGCTAGGAAATGTAGAACAAAGAAACGAAAGAACAATCAAGGTTCTCCCAAGAAGAAGCGCACAGAGTCATACAAAGTGCGAAATGTAGAAACGAGCGAAGAAGAAGAGGTAAATTGTTTCAAGATATCTAATGACACGGCTGTAGACGAAAAACTGGTATGTGGTATCGGTGGTTGCCCGATATCAATGATAATTGATTCAGGGACGCGTCTCAACTTGGTGAGCGAAAGTGACTGGGGAATACTGCGTAAAAACACGGCTGTGATATTCAATGAATGGGAAGACCACACAACCCAGTTTAAGGCCTATGCGTCAAATAAAGTTCTGGACGTACTTCAAGTTTTCGAAGCACCTATATCGGTAAAGAACAAATTGGAGAAAATCGCTACCTTCTACGTAATAAAGAATGGGTGCAAGTCCTTATTGGGGCGCGACACAGCTATGCAGCTGGGAGTTTTAAAAATAGGCCTAGGGGTAAATAGCGTGGAAATTGCACAACCTTTCCCAAAAATGCTAGGAGTTAAGATCAAATTATCAATCGACCCTACCGTAAAACCCGTACAACAGCCGATGCGTTGCATACCCATAGCCTTGGAAGAGCAGGTAGAGGAAAAAATTAACCAAATGATTGCTCTCGACATTATCGAGCCGGTTTCAGGGCCCTCTTTATGGATATCTCCAATAGTCATTGTGTATAAGGAAGGGGGAGAGATGAGGTTGTGTATAGATATGCGGCGAGCAAACCAAGCAGTGCTGCGCGAAAATCATCCGCTACCAACGTTTGAGATATTCATGACGAAGCTAAGAGGCGCCAAGTACTTTTCTAGGATCGACTTGAAGTGGGCATATCACCAGCTAGAGCTGGATGAATTCAGTCGCTATATTACCACTTTCATTACGCATAAGGGTTTATTTAGGTATAAGAGGCTGATGTTTGGGATAAATTCCGACCCAGAGATCTTCCAGCGAGTCATAGAAAAACTGTTATGCTCTTGCAAGAATGCGGTTAATTATATAGACGATATCATAATATTTGGCAAAACGGAGGAAGAACATGACGAAGCGGTAAAAAGAGTGGTAGACGTGTTTAGAGATAACAATTCAATGTTGAACGAAAAGAAGTGCATTTGGAAGGCACAAAAGCTAAAATTCTTGGGACACCTGTTATCTGAGGAGGCCATAGCACCTGACCCTGATAAGATTGAAACGATAAGGGACTTCCGCCCACCACAGTCGAAGGAAGAGGTAAGGAGCTTCTTGGGGCTCGTGACATACGTGGGGAAATTCCTCCCGGACCTCGCTGATACAACAGAACCGTTGAGAAAATTACTCAAATTAAACCAAAAGTTTATCTGGGATAACAGCCAACAAGAATCTTTTGACAAATTGAAGGAGGGCCTATCAAACGTACCAAACCTGGCATACTTTAACGCGAAGAAAAGAACTCGTCTTATAGCAGATGCAAGCCCAGTAGCGCTAGGGGCGGTACTTGTACAGTTTGACGATCAGAATGAGCCACATATCATATCGTTTGCGAGCAAAAGCCTATCAGATACGGAAAAGAAATACTCTCAAACCGAGAAGGAGAGCCTTGCACTAGTTTGGGCCGTTGAGAGATACCACTACTACTTAATGGGGCTGCAATTTGAGTTAGTCACTGACCACAAACCACTTGAGACAATTTTCAAGCCGACGTCAAAACCTCCGGCGAGAATAGAGAGATGGCTTCTCTGGTTGCAGCCCTACAAGTTCAAAGTTGTATACCGTGCTGGTAAAGAAAACATAGCCGACTCGGTGTCTAGACTATCTAAAATCCAACGGACAAGCCCATTTGATGACGGCTACAACCACTCAATCTTCCATATTGTTGAGAATGCGACACCCTCAGCGATGGGAATAAGCGAAATAGCGGCAGAGAGCGCAAAGGACAAAGAGTTAGTAGACACTATAACATGCGTTAAGAATGATCTATGGTCAGCCAATAAGGCAAACGTTTATTATCCGTTTCGGTACGAGCTGTCAGCTGTTGGTGATATTTTGCTTAGAGGATCTCGCATTGTAATACCCAAGACACTGAGGGAGAAAATTTTGAGACTAGCGCACGAGGGACACCCGGGAGAGTCAGCGATGAAGCGTAGGCTACGATCAAAGGTGTGGTGGCCGTTGATAGACATGGAGGCAGAAAATTTCGTAAAAAAATGTGTCAATTGCCTACTAGTGTCGCAACCTAGTAAACCACCACCAATGCAAAGACATGTGTTCCCAAATGGTCCCTGGCAGTGTGTTGCTACCGATCTATTGGGTCCTCTTCTTAACAACGACTACATACTTGTCCTTATTGATTATTATTCCCGCTACCAAGAGGTAAAATTCCTAAAAAAGATCACGTCTGAAGCCATTATTTCCGTCATGCAAGAGGTGTTTAGTAGATTGGGCATACCTAACTCAATAAGGGCGGCTAATGGCAGACAATTCACCAGCTCCGAATTTAAAAACTTCTGCAAAAATCACAACATCACTTTAATTACGACTCCCCCATATTGGCCGCAGGCCAATGGGGAAGTTGAAAATATGAACAAGTCGTTAGTAAAGAGGTTAATAATCGCGCACAACAACAAACGAGACTACAAGAAGGAGATCGAGGAATTTGCATTGATGTACAATGTCACGCCCCACGGTACAACAGGATCCTCACCCTCAGAGCTCATGTTCAATCGTGTCATTCGTGATAAAATCCCAGGTATTCAAGACTTAACAGACGACATGTTGGACTCGGCTGCCCGAGATTATGACATTATTAACAAATGGAAAGGGAAAGAGAAGGCGGACATGAGACGAAGGGCAAAAGAAAGCGACATTGAGGTAGGGGATAAGGTCTTATTAAAGAACGTGGTATTCGCGCACAAACTTACTCCAAACTTCGATCCGACGGAGTACACAGTAAAGGAAAGGAGTGGCAATGAGGTGATAATAGCAGCTGGGGAAAGAACGTTAAGAAGAAACATTAGTCACATCAAAAGGCTACCGGCATCCGAAACAATCTCAGACAACGAAAGTAATCCTACGACTTCAGGGGAATCCATGCAGTGCGGTCAACCATCACAACAAATCTCAACTGACGCCACTTCATCAACGGGAGCGCCAGCGGCAGACCCAGAGGCTTAACAAAGATAAAAGAAAGACGAAAATAAGGAAGGGATGTAGAGACCTGCACTAGTGTTGTGTGAGTGTGGGAGACACAACGATTCAGAGTAACGAACATCCATATTAGTTAGTTGAATATCGAGCGTGAACCTGTAAAGTTGCACTATCAATGAACTCAATAAAATATCATATTTCCATGGTATAGCACTACCGAGAATAATTGTATTTATTATTAAACTGTTTAGAAGAGAACAAGTAGGTGAGTTATTACAATTAACATACCGAAGTGGTCAAAAGGCTTAGGTCCAATTTCAGATGGCCTACTTAAGTAGAGATTGTTGATTAACTTTCACTATTCATTTTCAGATCATACATTTAATCTGAACTTAAATGGCTATTTAAATATGAGATGAGTTGCATATCTGGTTGTACCAAATAACCAAGATTTATTGGTAGGTTGTTTAATCAATCCCACCAAAAAACAATCGGCTGTTTAGCACAAAATGTAAACAAACAAGCATTTTGTTGAGTACGGGAATGATTTTTGGGCACCCGCGGGATCCTGCGTTGCCTACGGGAAGAACCTTTAAATAAAGTTGATCTGAAACCTAACGAAAGCTGAATGGAATTTAAACAGCAATCCAATTCGGAGGTAGAAGCTCCGGTTAAATACAACAACTGCTTTATCGATCACATGTTATATGCATGATGTCGAAATCTTCGATAATGATGTACTGCTGATAACCATACATTGAACAACGGGCCCATAGCTTAGGTGCAAATGCTTTAGTTTAAGATTTTACATTTAAAGAACTTTTCTATTTAACGGCGCGCTTACATTGGACAATGCTGTCAAGACAATGAAGTTATACGTATTAGTTGTCAAAAACCACAGAACAAACAGTATACAGAAGACGCATGTCGACTATCAAACCAATTTGAATTTATGGCACGAGCGGCGAGGCAAGCAAGGGTATCACAAGCGGCGCTGCCTCTGTTACTTTAGCAGTATTTTCACTCGGCTGACGCTGTTAATTTCATCGTCGCTATGACGACAAGATGTTAAGTAACTTCGTTTTCCATCACGATCAGCGTTGCCGTTTTGATAAAATTTTATATTTTTAATACTTCTTTTCTAAATTGTAATATCTGATACTTTTTTGTTCCCAAATGCCGTATTTTGATACTTTCGGCTGGCAGAAATGAATTTTTGAAAACTATGAATAGTATTACGAGTCTAAAGGCAAAATTTTTTTTTTTTTAGCCTAGTTTTCATTTGGGGCTGTTTATTCTGTACAAAAACGCATGCTTGGAAAAGTGTGTATGTATTAGTGAAAAAGTGTGCATGTATTGCTATTGTCATGACAGTACCCTGCAGTACGGGGGAGCGACTACAGGACTGCTGAATCGGTAGCTATGTGATAAACTCCGTCAATTACCGACCGACTACTTGCAGTGTATTTCATCGATTACTTTTACAAGGCAATGTCCTAGGCGGTAGTCACCATCGGCTCTCTCTGCTCTACCGGGAGCTACTTTACTTGCGTTATTTATGGGCATCCTCTGCCGTAGTTTTTCGCTATCTGGATCGACTCTGCACTAACATGTGTACTACCACGGGTAACAGAGTAGCTACTTACCTAGGAGTCGGTGCAGTAGCGGTTCAAAAGTAGCGATTTACCCCAGCAGTACTGGAGGGTCGCTACATTTGAACCGCTACTGCACCGACTTTAGCTACTCTATTAACCCGTAGTAGTGCACATGGTAATGCAGAGTCGAACTAGTAGTAAGCAGAATAGCGAAAAACTACGCCAGAGGGCGCCCATAAATCACGCAAGTGATTACTTTAGTCGACGTTCAGGCACGAAAACTTTTGTTGCGTGTAGGGGAGAGAGCGACGAGGAAAGGGGACGGGTACCGAGTCGCCCGTACTCGGGAAACACACTTTGTGCTCTCGTTCGTAATTCAAGTTGGCGATTCATAGCTGACAACAACAATTGCGTACAAAAGAGTTTCTGTGTGTGAATGCAAAGGGCAACACCAAAAGAGAAATCGCCGATAATAAGAAACTCGAGTTTCCGCGTTTGAACGCAGACTTAGTAACCCCCGGTAGTGCAGAGAGAGCCGATGGTAACTACCGCCTAGGACATTGCCTTGTAAAAGTAATCGATGAAATACACTGCAAGTAGTCGGTCGGTAATTGACGGTGTTTATCAGGTAGCTACCGATTCAGCAGTCCTGTAGTCACTACCCTGTACTGCAGGGATGTTTGCTATGTTACATATATACATTTGTAGGTAGTTAACTTACATACATACCCAGTAGAACGACATCAGGCATGTTTAATTCAACCATCACAAGCAAATAGCTAAATCTTGGTCAAATAAAACGAAATTAGCTTATTTCTTATGTTAGCCTAATTTGACAGTTGTTTGACTGTAAATAGTGTCAAAGTAAGTTTTTGCCTCTTTCTGATTGGCTGGAGGAGAAAATTTCTGATGCTGAATGGCAATGCCTCTTGTTCAATATACAAGCCAAGATAGCTTTTCATAAGCCAATAGGGGTATTCTCTGAGTCTTGCAAAGCCCTTGCACGGTGCACGGATTGCACGGTTTGCAAAGCTGTCCCATACGAAAACCGGTTTTTACCGTGCAATCCGTGCAATCTGTGCACCATGCAAGGGCTTTGCAAGACTCAGAGAATACCCCTAATATAATTATGTTGGGTAAGTCCTCCATACAAAATAAGCTAATAGCTTAAATTTCTGGACAAATAAAACACGGCTATCGCTGTTGATGGCATGAGCTTGCTGCTGTGTATACATGTGTGTGTATAAATTTCAAAATAATTTGCAAGAATCTGCACATACACATAAACATAAAACCTAAATGTATACTATGCACTAGGGATGTTGCGGATGTGGAATTCTAGACATCCGCGGATGCGGATGGGAATGCGGATGTCTAGTATTTTTAAAAAACAATTAGAATCTAGCATAATGGCGAGATCGTTGTTTAAACAGCGCTTACAAGCCAAACCAGATACATATCGCACACCGTCTTCAAAAGAGTCACTACTCAAAATAATAAGTTTGTCAGAAAATGCGAAAAACTATTTCTTAGCACATGATAATCATATGGGCAAGGGCGAATTTACCTAAGGTTTTTTTAACAAATTATAACAAAATTTTGTTTTTTATTTCTTTTCGATTTTATTTTTTGTAATTCATTTTTAATACTTTCTTCTGCGACTGCTTTGAAAAATGTGTGCTTATAGCGAGCTAAATAGGTGGATATGGAAAATAGATTATTATTTTTGAACAAAATTCTGTCGCGGCTGCCAGCCGAATCGGATCAGGATCATGTTATTATTTTTTTTAAAGCACCGCGTTTTTTGATAAGCATTTGAATAACAGATAGTTACCTAATTCTTATCTAATTAAAGGTCAGAGCTATAGCTTTTTAATTATTTGAACATCGATTCTCTTTATAGCTAGACGTTGATCATTTCTACTGGAAATCCCTATTGAAGGAGCTTACTCATTGACTTTAAATAGCTAAGAAGGGACAGTTTTACCACAAAAGTTTTTAGCCAAGGATCCACTGTATATCCCTATGAAAAAAATATTATCCAATAAGTAAAAAAAAAAACTACTGTTCTTAAAATTTTTGCTAAAAATAAATTCCCCAAAGAGCCCCATTTGAAATTATTCAAACGAATATATGTAATAGATGGCATACGCGGTACGTCTGACTCGTGAGTCATTTGTGTACGTGTTGACTCGCCTTCCACTACATACAGAGGAATCATTCAGAGTCATGCCGGAAGTCATGTTGGTGTAACTAACACATATTTATTTTCACAAACACATCCAAACCGACTCACGAGTCAGACGCACCGTGTATGCCGCATATAACATCAAAAGCAAATCACGAAAATTTTGTTAAGAATTACAGTGCACACTTTCTTCTTCTGTGTCTAGTAGTTTTTTTTAAGATCCCAAAAAAATCATAATAAAGAAAGAAGCCAAAGCAGGTATTTAAAACACAGAACAAAAAATCTATATATTAATACGCTAACATAAATTTTGTCTCCGTTCGTTTGGCGATTCTACCGAACCGATTTCAAAACCAAGAACACCGTTGGCAAGGCATTTTTCCGTAGTTGAGCAGAGTTTTTATGGTTTCACAATTTGTTGAAAATTACGGCCAAAACCGTCGTTTAAACATTTTCGAATTGTGTATACATGTTGCTGCAACATGTTCAATTTGACATGTTTCGCCTGTTGCTTCACTACACATTTGAAATTAAGCTTTGAAATAAAGATAAATATGAAGATGAAGAAATAAATGATAACGATGAAGTCAAAAAAAAGAGGGCAAAAGTGAAGATAAAGCCGAAAATGGAGACAATGACCGATACATAAGAATTAGGGTAACTGAAATGGTAAGAACATTTCTTGAATTTATGAAGTTAAACTTCTTTAGCGGCAGTTGGTTGGGAGTAAATCGTAAAATTCGAGGGGAATAATGCACATGGAAATGGTACTCAGCGGTTTAACGGTTTGAGAATAAAAACAAAAACAAAGATGCCTAGAGGTTCAGGCAAAAACGACGATCAAAGTAAATTTAAACACTTTAAGGTAAAGGTGAGAGGAATATGCAAAAATAAAGATAAATATGAAGAAAAGGATGAGGTGAAGATCGATATTGTTATCGATATAAAACTCGATATTTTTATCTATATTGTTATCGATACTGTTATTGATTAAATAACCGCTATTGTAATCGATATAATAATCAATAATAATAATCGATATTGTTATCGATACAATAATGGATATTGTTATAGGTATAATAATCGATTAAATAATTGATTTTGTTATCGATTTAGTCATTTATATTTTTAACGATATGTACAATAATCGATACTGATGATTGTTATATTTATCGATGAATTAATCGATCTTACAATCGTTGTATTTTTCTATATGTTTATGGATATTGTTATCGGTATTTTTA